ATATATATATATATATATATAATAATTAAAACGGAATTCAGACAATTTTTACCACTAAAAATAAAAAAAATGCTTAAACCATGTAAAAAAATACTTTAACTCCTATCATAGACATCAAATCTCTTTTTATCTCTTGCTTAAATTTAAGTATTAAAACCTTTATTTTTTTTGTAAAAAAACCAACAACTTGCTTTACATTGCTGACATTCTATTTATGACAAACAGCTGTCGTGTATATCACATATAGGGTCAAAACAAATTGCACCACAATTTTGCCTTAAAAGATGCAGATTTTTTTTAATCATTATTAAAAAGTTGTTTAAAAACCTGGAATGTTTTAACCAGCTTAAGCACCGATTTGAGAAATTTGAAACAAACCATTCAAGTTACTTATATGTCAGGATTACTCTTGCTTTCTGAAAAACATTTAGCAGCAAAACTGCTCACCGCTCTAGGTTTTTGAAATTTTAAAAAGAGGCTCAAGCTAAGTGACTGATAAGGTCAATTTAAACAGCAGGTGCAGCTAAACTTGCATTTTGTTTTCCCACAAATTACCACAGTCTGTTTTTTTGCTCACCCAATTCTGCCCACAACCAAGTACATTTTACCTGCTCCCACTGTGATGACAGTGGGTTCTGCGGGATCCCAGTCCTGCTGCAGGGCTCTAGCTATTATTAGTCTGCCCTGGCCAGTAGTGGAGCCAAGTAGCCCCAGAGCAAGGCAGCTTTCTGCCCCTCTTGCAGGGCTCTGCACCGGGGCTGGGATGAAATCCAACCACGTGGGGTCGTGCTGTGATAATAATCTGTGAGAAGCAGGGTCTGAGCCGTGCTGGCTTTGAGGACGTTTATTTCTTTGCAAGTACAAAAAGGCTTCAATTGTGCTTCTTGGTAAAAACGGTCTTTAAAAAAGAGCTGCCTAGACGAGACCCCAAGGCGAGATCGGGGGAGTGGATCCCCCAGGGAGAGGCCTGGGGGAAAGGATCCCCAGGTTCTTCTTCAAGTGATGTCCCTGTGAGTGGGGAAGAGCCCAGCCCAGCCACCACAGGGTCTCCCACTTTATAGCTGCCCCAGATCACAGGTGTCTCCTCCCCCTCCTTCTGCCCCCACGCCTGGATCCATTCCCTGGGGCTGTTCTGGGCTCCCTGCTGGACTGACCCACCCCAGCTAGCAATTGGTGGTAGGCTGGATGGGGGAAGCAACCAGATACATATCTGGGGCCTGACTCGGTGGCACTTGAGACTGCTAGCAGTGAAAGTGGATTGAAAGGAAGTACATCCGGCCTCCTGAGTAACCCCCTCCCCCGCACAAGGGCCTCCCTGGCTGGGGTAGAGCAATGGGAGCTGCTGGACACTGAGTTCTTTAGAGAATCTGGCCAGGTTTTCCCCATTGCACATGTAGGTAAACCGAGGCACAGGACAGAGGCCAGCATTTTCCAAAGTGGCCAATGATTCCTGGGTGCCACTGAGGGCCTGGTTTCTGAGCACCCTCCACTCCTGCTAAGATCAACAGGAGCGGTGGGTGCTCGGCCTCTCTGCAAGTCAGGCCCTGGGTGTGTGTGTGTGTGTGTCTTAAATCAGACACCCCAAAACTAAAGCACCACTGCCAATTGAATCAAGGTCCCCAGAGTACCATGCTAGTCCTTTAATCACAAGGCCACTCCACCCCCTGGACTTGGGGTTCTCAACCTTTTTCTTTCTGAGTGCCATTCCCCCCGCCCCACCCAATGCTATAAAAACTCCATGGCCCACCAGTGCCAAAACAATTGTTTTTCTGCATATAAAAGCCAAGGCTAGTGTTAGAGGCTAGTAAGCAGGGCAGCGCCTGGGGTCCCACGCCAGCCTACGTTGCTCAGGCTTCGGCTTCAGCCCCGGAGGCAGGGCACAGCAGGTCTTTGGCTTCCTGCCCTGGGCCCCAGAGTGGCTAACGCTGGCCCTGCTCACAGACCCTTGGTTGAGACCCGCTGCCCTGGACTAAGCCCCCCAGATCTCCTTAGGCCCTGCATTTGTCCCGGAGGCAGTCGAGGGCTTCGGGCTGGAGGGGCACATCGTCCTGGGAGAGAATGGTGCAAAGATGGATGACGGTGGCATCCTGCTTCGCTCGTTTCCTCCACTCCAAGAGCATGCTGAAAGCTCGCAGTTTGGTGTTGCCGGGATTGTTCTCCTCGATCTGCTCCAGACAGTGATTCTCCAGGCCCAGGAACTCAATGCCGATCTGCCTCCAGGTCTTGCCCATTTTCCCTGCCAGCTTCATCAGCTGCTGCTCTGAAACCAGACTCTGCCTCTCTGGGAAAGAGTGGAGAAGAGTCAGCCAGGAGATTGGCTACGCAGCCACATGGGAAGCTCCAGTCTTCCTGGCACTTGCTCCCAGTGCACCTGCCCTGCTCTCTACCAGGCCCCTTCTGGGTGAGGCTGGGATTGGAGTAGCCAGGAGCTCTCCTCCCAGCCACCTTCCTGCCCCACTCCCCACTGGAAGAGGCTGGGACTGGAGTAACCACGAGCTTCCTCGACAGCCAATGCTCCTGCCCCACTCCCTAGAGCACCCCCTACTGGGAGACGCTGGGGCTGGAGTAGCCGGCTGTGTCACCCACAGCCAGTGCTCAAATTACAGGGGTCTTCAGAGGGGATGGGCCCCCTTACTATACTAATTTTAGGGACTGCCTCACTGCTGTCTTATGGCCCCCTTAGTTCTCACTACTATTTAAATTAAAGCAAGCCACTCGGTATTCAGGGCCTCTCCTATTTTTCCCATCATTGGAGCTCTGACTACTGCCCTTCCCCTTACAGTGCCCCCTGCTGGGAGAGGCTGGGAACAGAGAAGCTGGGAGCTCTCCACTCCTGTCACTGAACCGCCCTGCACTGTGGCTGTGCTCCTTACCATAGGCCTGTGGCTCACCTGCCCTGGCGCTGCTATTTGCAGCCTCACTGTGATTTGCATCGTTGCCGCTGTTCCCAGTTTCTCCTCCTGTCTGGAGCTGGCCGCTCTGGACCAGGTCCAGCCTTGGGATCTTGCGCAGCACCTGGTTGGTGATGTCTAGCGCTTCCTGGGGGTACGTCTGCATCAGCAGCGCAGCCACCTGGATGTGGGAGGCGCCGTCCAGCTTCCCGCGGCGTATGTGGGGAGCCGTGCCCCCATGGGGCAGGTAAAACTTGAACTTCTCAAACTCCTCCTTGGTCAGATCATCCAGGATGCGCAGCAGCTGCTCGCCCATCGCCATCCTGGCACCTCACCCCGGAGCCCCCCGAAAGGCAGACCTGCGAGGCCCCAAAACAAACCAGACAGATGATTTGGGGTGACTGGAGGGAAAAGCCCCCGTTCAGTCTCTCCAGGGGACCTGCTCTCTGAATGCCCCCTCCCCACTCCATCCCTTAGACTCTCGGGTCCCCCTTTCAAAATTCCTCTGATCTTTGGGGTTTGCTGTCTGTTGAACCACAGCACCCCAGTGCTCCTGAGGGGAAGCCCCAGTGCCCAGGCAGCTGGGCTAAGCAGGGACGAGTCACCTCAGAGCACAGGGGGTTTCCCCAGCCCACCCCAAAAAGTCCCTGCTCTCAGCAGTATGCCCACCATGGGGCCCCTGGCCGCTCCCAGAACTGGTGACCTCTGCAGGTTTCGGCAAGTGACACCCTTATCTCTGCAAAACAGCAGTAGGGTCTTGCACAGACAGACAGCGTGGCTGGGACCCAGGACACCTGGGTTCTATTCCCAGCTCTACTGGTGACCTTGAGCGAGTCACCTTGCCTGCTCTATGCCTCAGTTTCCCTTCCCCACCTTTTGTCTGTTTAGACTGCAAGCTCTTTGGGGCAGGGCCTGTCTGTGCAGCGCCCGGCAGGATGGGGCCCTGGGGCGTCTGAAAGATTGTTTAGCGTGGAAATACTGAGGTGCCTGGTTTTCCCTGGGTGCATTCATGCACCTGCTCTCAGTGGTAACACGACTGGGGAGGGGAGGGGGTTGGGGAAATGGGTATTTCGGGGGTGGAAGAAGCTAGTGTGACAGGGCTAATGGGGCAAGACCGGTAGCAGAGCCCTGGCTGTCCACGCACACACCCCCCCCCCACCAATGTGCTGCACCCCAGAGCCAGGCGCCCCAGCCCTCCCACCTCGCTCCCATTCAGCCCCGGTCCCCCCAGCTGGAAAGCCGGCAAGGCGCCCAATTCGCCCCACAGGCGGGTGGCACTTTGGGGCGGGGACACTCCCAGGCTGCGCTGCGCTGCGGCCCCCCCCGATACATGGCACCCAGAGGTGCTGGAGCCAGCGGGGCTGCCCCACCCCCCGGGCTCGACGTGGTTGGTTCCCATCCTATCCCGTACGGGGCTCTCCCGGCGCCCCGATGGCACCGCCCCCTGCCCGACA